CCATGCGGAAAGCGAGAGAGTATTCATACAGACTATTCTTCATCACTCACCTCGTCGTGGCATTACTTACACCTGTCCTGCTCTTCTTTCACGCGTCATCAGCCAGATTCTACATTGCCGAGGCTTTTGCCATCTTCATCCTCGACCTGGCTGTGCGACGAATCACCACTATCAACGCCCCATCAACAATGGAAAACATACCCGGAACAACTCTCGTCAAAGTCACGTCCTCATCCCCGTGCACAAGCTGACTCCTTTCCGCGCCACCCCCGGCTCACACATCTACCTGAGTGTCCCACCACAAGGTCGCTCCGCAGCTGTTCCATCTTCCAAGTCTGCCATCTTTGATTACCTGTACAATCCCTTCACTGTTGCTGCTGTTGACGCCGAAGAAGGCACCATCAGCCTCATCGCTCGCGTCAGAAACGGGCCCATGACAAACGTCCTCTCCGCCTATTCGTCCGCAACACCCCGACCACCCTCGGAACCTCGCAAGATCACACTGGCTGTTGAAGGCCCTTACGGTACCATGGCCACAAAGTACAACGACCTTTTGAAGTGGGGAGCCACCAAAGTTCTTCTCGTGTCCGGCGGAGTAGGCGCAACATTCACCCTGCCAATCTACCAAGCGCTCCAGAGCGAGCTGTCCTCCGCCAAGCTCCAATTCATATGGGCCATCCGTGGCGCTGGCGACGCCACATGGGCCGTGTCAAACAAAACCACAGGGCAGGTTGTTCTTGAAGATCCCAATATCCAGCTCTACTTGACAGGAGACTTGGGCCTAAGGGAACAAGACAACGGCGACTCTGCTGGAGGCTCTGTTGAGCTGTCCAGCATGCGTAGGACGAATGGACGGCTGACGGCCAATCATAATAAAAAGAGACCCAATATCGAAAAGATTGTAGATGACATGTTCCGAGGGAGCCCGGATGAATCAGTCGCAGTTTTAGTTTGTGGGCCGATCGAAATGAATCGAGAGGTACAGCGAAGAGTGAGGCCCTGGGTGATGAAGGGCCGAAGAGTTTGGTGGCATAACGAAACATTCGGCTGGTAACAGAGCAGAGGCAAATAAATATTTGACAACTTTTGTCCATACTAGTAATGCTTCATGGTCAATGTACTATATCCCCTGGTATAAATATTATATACGAATTTTCATCGTGAACCTTGGAATGGCTCTTGCTGGCCTTTTCCGTGACAAACTTTTTCGCCGTGGGATGCTCGGATCCAAGTCATCGCAGCACAATCATCGTCACTGAGCATCTCGTTTTTCAGCTCCAAAATCTGTAATCATTATAGCTTATTGGTGCGAAAGTTCCTGACGGCCAACGTTTCGTCTTTGCCACTATTGATGTCACATCACTATATTTGTGAATAATCTACTTACAAGCATTCATCTCCCAGGGCCAAACAGAGTCAAATATTCCATCCTGCGCCACGCATTCTAAACTATCAAACCACCGAAGAGAGATCAATATCACTGTCTATAGCGGGCGAGCTGTGCCATGATATTTTGTACTTGGCTGGCAGCATCTCCATTGTTCCCATTTGCACCTTGATTGCTGCTTCCATTTGGCTGCTGACCTCCATAAGGAGCCCCATATGGTGTTTGTGAAGGTGCATGTTGCTGGGGGTTTGTACCGCTTAAGCTCCCCAAGATAGCTTGAATGTCAACTGGAGGGTTGTGAGCTGCGTGGGCACCACCAACCGCAGGGTGAGGGTAGCTCCCAGCTGCTGGAGGCGTTGCTGACTGGCCCTGGATCGTCGATAGCAGTCGCTGAAGTGTAGCGTTATCAACATGTCCCATCAAGCTGGCAATATCAGCGGCTGAAGTTGGGGGTGGTTGCTGTGGCTGTAGAGGGTACGCAGTTGGCTGTTGACCTCCACCATAAGCAGGCTGCTGATGCTGTGTGCCATAGGGGTTCTGGTATGCTCCATTGCTGCCATAGCCTTGGTTGTAGTTTGCAGGTGCGGCAGTCGACTTGGCGCGTAGAATGACCTCTGCTGCAGTGCCAGGGTCGAGGTCCACGTATTGATCAAAGCGCACATTGTTGCTTCCAGCAGAGCGGTCGAACACCTGCACAGGGACTCTGGCGAGATTTTGAGCACGGATATCCAAGTCCACAACGCCATGTACACCTTCTGCTGCTTGTCGCTGAATGACTTGATCCTTGGGAAAGCGAGGATGCAAGTACATAACTTGCGTCTTCAGGCCCTTGACCTTGAAGGCCCCCTCAACCCAGTTTACGAAATCGCGATTGACATCGGGCTGCAAGATAATTTGCACATCTGGCACATCGGCGCCGTATCTTCGTGGGATATCAAGCTCTGGTTCATTACGAGGTCGACCATGTGGGCTCGGGCTTCGTCTCCGATAGGGATCACGATCACTGCGCCCGTACGGGGGCGATCGGGACCGTCCTCGGCCGCCACGACTAGAGTCGCTGTAGCCACGGTCTCTCCCGCCAAAACTGTCGTCTCTCGAGTGGTAATCGTTACGACGAGGTGAGTGATTCCTACCGGGACGATAATCATCTCGGCCGTGTTTATCCCCTCTCCGCCCATTCTCACGGCCGCGGCCTCTGTCTGGGCTTCGGTTGCGGTCTTTCTTTGACTTATCCTGTACACGAGATATTTCCAGATCTATCTACCCTGTTAGAATTGCCGTGTTCCCAGGCTGAAACAGGACTGAGACTTACGTATGCGACGACCCTTGATCTCGATTCCCTGCAGGTTCTCCATTGCCCTTTGGCCTTCTTCGATGGTGTGATACTGCACAAATCCGTATGCGGACTTCAAAGAGATTTGTGCAAGTCTACCATATCTATGGAATAATTCAAACACGTCGCGTTTGGAAACCTTATCACTTGAGAGGTTGCCTGTTGGGGAACAAAGCGAAGTTAGCAAACATTTCAAGCGGTGGATGAAGATGGCATACCAATAAAGATGCGGGAACCTTCAGGAAATCGATCCCACTTAGCCTCAGACATATATTGTCTTTCGTCTGCCATGAATTGGTCCCATTGGCGTTGGTACTCTACATCACGACCCTGATCCGCGGAGTACCCAGGTGCTGTCTGGGTTGAATACGGTGAAACATTCAGGCCGCTGGCAGGGGGGAGGGGAAGGCTGGCCACGGGGTCTGTGGAGGTTCCTGGAGCACTGCCGATATGATATGATGGCGCTTGACCAGTGTTTGGCTGAGCAACGACAGCTGCGGTTGCATTGGGGTTAGCTCCAGCGGGATGATGCTGTGAGGCATACAATGGGGAAGCGGAGTGCGGTTGGGGAGGCCTTGGGGGAAGGGAGGAAGTAGATGGCAATGTAGTCGAGGACGACAGAGATGCAGAACCCGTGGGCGGTTCAGCCTGTGCCGGCGAAGCAGGAGATGGATCAGAGTCGGCATTGGATTCAGTAGGTTTGGCAGTGAGGTCAGCCACAAGTTTCTGGATATCAAGCGACGGTGAACTTTGCGACTCCGTAACAGCGGGATTTGGACCATCTGTGGGCTTAGGCTGGGCTCCTTGGTCTTGGTCTTGGTCTTGCTGGTCATCCCCTCTATGGTCTGATGGTGCTGGGACGGGAGGGTTGGCTGAAGGTTCATGCTGGGCATTTTGATGGCTGTTTGAAACAGGAGGCGTAGACGTTGCAGATGGGTCATGGACGGTAGCAGGGCTAACTTCTGAAGATCGACTGACGTTCAACTGCTCGGATGGAATGGGAACTAGATTGGATTCCTGCAGACTCGACGACACTAGTTGATCAATGTCCTGTTCACCTCCTTCGTTTGGTTCGATGGGCGAGTCGAATGTCTTGGCGTAATCGTCGTTGGCTTCTGAGGGCTCTGGCGGAGGATGGGCCTGCGCAGGCTGGGCAGGCTCAGTATCCTCGCCATATGGGTCGTTAAAACTGTCGTCATCTACAACATCGTCGTTGTCAGTGGCATCAGCGAGGGCGGGATCGACAACGGGCTTGTCGACGAGGGCCTCAGGGGCACCAGCGGTAGCAGCAGCAACCATGGCGTCGATGGTATCGACAGTGTCTTGAAGTGCTGGAACAACAAGCGGCGCCGCGGTGTGGACAGGCGATGGTGACACGGGGGACAAGTTGGCACTGGCCTGAAGTTCGGCTTCAGGCTCTTTCATGAAAGCGGAAGGTATTCGGCCTAAGCTTGGGGAAATGGAAAGCAAAGCTGGAGCCTCTTGCACCGTATGAGCACGATGGCTTAAGCGACGCTGATCGCTGAGCTGGGAGGATAAGGTTTTGCAATGCGGGCGAAGGGGTTGGTGTGGTTGATAAAGTATCAGCAGACTTGCATTGAATCCATCGATGCTTGGGGGTTGACAAGTAGCTGTGACAACACTGCGCCAAGGATTTGCGTGCTGCTGCAGGGCAACTGACGAGCAACGAGCAGCCTGCTTTGAACAAGTTGATGTCGATAAAAGGAGATTGTGTTTCTTTCTCGGAAGAATGACTGATTTACTCAGTAATGGCTCGATAAATGGCGCCAACTGCTGAAAATGGCCCGCGTGGTGATGATGTGAAGAAGGCAAAAAATGGCTGGGCGAAGTTCGAGTTGGAAAGTGGCGCCTTGGGGGGTGTAAGCAGACTCAGGTCGGAAGGTGTGCCTTCTGTGTGAGCGGAATCAGGGTGTCGGATAAACCTGAGTAGGTGCCGCGCTAGTCAAGTTTAGGACATGGACTTCACCGCTCCCGATTCATTATCATAAGGTTTCCGGTAACTCTTTTAGACAATTGCCTAAGCTCAGCCAGTACCAAAAGCAGAGAGACTTGGCGATCCGTCTCAAGACTGACATATACCGGAGAGACGGGACCAATTGTGCATTTTGATGTCGCACAACCTTTGGCGGCAATCCCCAGGGCGGCCTTGCCCATCACCATGATCTGCCACAAGCTGTCGCGACGCGCTGTCTTTATCACAAGGCCTTTGCAGAGGACACTGCAGCCTTTGCTGTTACAGAGAGCCAAAAGATATGGCGCCTTTGATGCAAATCTCGATCAAGAGGCCCTGGCAGAAGCAAGGACTTGGTACCAATCTTTTGATGCATCGCAGCTACCCAAAGGCAGCACCACGTACGCGCGATCCAGCGGCCCAGGCGGCCAGCATGTGAACAAGTGAGGCGACTCCTTTTCTGATAGCGCACGCCGTGGAGTGATGCACTGATTGTGTATAGAACAGAAACCAAGGCCACCACTGTGTATTCAGTGCGGGATCTTTTGTCCACCCTGCCGAGGAATCTGCACGCTGTTGTACGATCCTCCAAGTACTATGTGGCGAGTAACGACAGCCTCACATTCCAAGACCAAACTCATCGATCAAGAGCTGCGAATGCAGACGAGAATCGAACTAAACTCCTTGAAGAAGTAATACGTATCTACAAAGAGACAACACCAACTGAGACAAGTGGCGAGAAGAAGAAGAAATATGAAGCCATGTGAGGGTCTTTCAGACGCAGTGCATGTCATTTGGCTCTGGCTAACTTGGACGTAGAGAAAAACGATTCCATGAAGCTCGCATAAAACAGAAAAAGTTTGCTAGTGCAAAGAAACAGTCACGAAAGGGGCCACAAGGCTGAGGTCTCCTTGATGGAGCCGGCATAGATATCTACCTTGACCAAGCCCCCCTGACACGCTCCAACTCATGGTTGATTTAAGCCCGCGTTGTGCAGAAAAATTGCTATGATAAATCAACCTCGCAAGATTAACATATATGGCGGTGCAGGCTTATGAGGAGTTCGTGGCGCAAATGCCACCACTGTCCCGCGAGATATGTTCAGGACAAATGAGCCGGTTGGAAGATGAAATAAAGCAACCTCGTCAGGTAGAATCAAGAGTTAGGCCAGTCTACGAGTGAAAAACCCAGCCTGTCGCTGGAAACGGCCCGTGATAGCTTTCCGTGACAGCTGCAGTTGATTTCGATATCAAGAAGAACTGTCCACTACCTCCCTAGGTAGATCTACATCGACTTCTAGATGCCGACGGCCAAGACCGCCTTACAAAAGTGAGTCTCTGCTGGTTCGGAAAGATGAACGTTCAGTGCAAGGCCACATGAAGTGCAATGACGCCAAACACGATTAGGCGCACAGTCCATGATATTACATTCTGAGTTCCAATTAGTGTCCGTTGAGCTGGCCAACGGGGGTGGTGCGCAATACCACATTCGACATCTACATGTAGCTGCAAGGTGGCTCAATCTCGTAAGAACCCGCCGCCTGCTGTGGTGAAACAATGACCCAAGCTCCAGGTTCCAGTCCCCATCTATGCCTCTGCGTGAGACCCCACCTCATCCAGTTGACCGAGGAGAGTCTCTCCTCCACACAATCTCGCCGCGAGATAAATTGTACGAGCTGAGCCTCGCTCAAATTCGCAGAGATACACCCGTTGGCCGAACACGAAATCGACAGGGAGCTTTGCAGCCTCCATACGGACGAAAATACGAATACCTCGACACGTCGCCCGTGATCCGAGGATATATTGCGTTCTTGTTCGGTGCTGCCACTCCCAAGGCCACATCCGCAAACCATTAGTTATATAGTACCTCGATTGCAACGGCCCTGCCCAGGCCTCGCGAGGCAAACCTTTCGCAGCGACGTCCTGCCGCTTTTTCCCATCTCTGCGAACACGCCGGTTGAAGAAAGATGGACGGCAAACAGCAGACACCGCAGCCTCAGATCCAGCCTTGTAGATACAAGGTTGGAAAGACGCTGGGAGCTGGCTCCTACTCTGTGGTGAAGGAATGTGTTCATATTGATACCGGTCGATACTATGCCGCCAAAGTTATCAACAAGCGGCTTATGGCAGGCCGTGAGCACATGGTTCGTAAAACCTTTCGACTCTTGATTTGACATGTCGCATCGTCACCGTTTCGAGCAATAGATTCTGTAGATTGCTTGCTGATACCATCTTGGCCATGTTGTCTAGGTCCGCAATGAAATTGCCGTCCTCAAGAAGGTGTCCATGGGCCACCAAAACATACTGACGCTTGTCGACTACTTTGAGACGATGAATAACCTCTACCTTGTCACCGACCTGGCTCTCGGCGGTGAACTCTTTGACCGAATCTGTCGCAAGGGATCATACTACGAATCCGACGCCGCCGACCTTATCCGCGCAACGCTATCTGCTGTAGCTTACTTGCACGACCACGGTATAGTACACCGCGACCTCAAGCCCGAGAATCTTCTGTTCCGAACGCCAGAGGACAACGCGGACCTGCTTATTGCGGATTTTGGCCTCTCACGCATCATGGACGAAGAACAGTTTCACGTTCTCACAACCACCTGCGGCACGCCAGGGTACATGGCTCCGGAAATCTTCAAAAAAACGGGCCATGGCAAGCCTGTTGACCTTTGGGCCTTGGGAGTCATCACCTACTTCCTCCTCTGTGGCTACACCCCATTCGACCGGGACTCCGACTTTGAAGAAATGCAGGCCATTCTAAACGCAGACTACAGCTTCACGCCAGTAGAATACTGGCGCGGCGTCTCCAGCAATGCCAAGGACTTTATCCGTCGATGCCTGACCATCGATCACACCAAACGCATCACCGCGCACGAGGCCCTTCAGCATGCCTTCGTTGCCGCCGAAGAGCCCACCGACGGAGCAGGCGAGAACCTCCTCCCCACCATCAAGAAGAACTTCAACGCCCGCCGCACCCTCCACGCAGCCATCGACACTGTCCGCGCTATTAACAAGCTCCGCGAGGCGTCACACCTCATGGACGGCGCTCGCTCAAAAGAACCCGGCCGCGGCGCAGCCCCGCGCAGCGACGGCAACGGAACCCGCAAGGACGACAGCGGCATCTCGCTCGGCAAAGAGGACTCGGGCTACGGCACACAGCACGACGCAGACGTCGTTATGGGCAATACCACTGCCGCACCAGCCCTCAGCAGTGTCCCCGCCTCCCTACAACCAGGCAACCAAGCGAACAAGGTCATACAAACAAGTAAAGGTCTCTGGAGCGCCCCTACGTCAAACAGGTGAATTTGACGTCACGACAACATCCCCTTGACTTTTTTTCTCATGAACCACCCCCCCCCCCTCTCTTTTTTTCCCCATCTTGCAAAACCGACATACATAAGCGAAGGAGATATGAGTTGGACATCAAGCGCTCTGGAAGCCCGATTTGTCTTGTAGGCTCATGACGTTTTTTTCTTTTGTCGACAACCTTTTTCTTGCTAGAGTCTTGTTTAGATGACGGGCGGTTGGGATGAACCACAGGATGCTTTACGAATTGAGTAATGACCTATGACGGGCAATTATATCCGAGTTTGAATATAGAACCAGGAACAACCTCCACTGGACGTAACCCGTGATTTGGAACGCCATGAAACGCTTTAGACAGGCCAAGTAGACTGGGCATTAGACGGTGACCTTTGCATTTTTGCAAATAGTCGATCAAGTCGCACCGTTTTCCATGAGTGAATACAGACCCGGCTAGCTATCCTATCCGCTGGACCTGTCGGTGGCCGTTTACAACTCTTCCATACCCTCCAGTTTTGGTCACTGTTGAATGCTCAGATGTGGTGATATTTTTACATTTTGTTCAAGGATTCATTCCCTTCTAATTCTAGTTTCTAGCGAGTGGCATCTTTGGTATTTTCTCCATTCCCCTCTGATCATCCCTTTCAGACGACCGAGTCGCCCCGCCCCCCGTTGGGCTCATCACCACAAGCCACAAGTCCTAAAACTTCTGCCTGCCCTTGCGGGCAATCACAGGTAACCGCCTGTCCAATATGTCCAAATCATGAGCGCCTTTCCCGTCCACTGCCAGGCTCTCTAGCGAGCGTATCGGTGCATGTTAACCCTTCCCTATTGACCCATATATGCACGAATTACTTGGTATGTATACATTACGTACTCTATCATTGCAAGCCGTTTCCATGGCTATTATATGCAGTACGTTGGATCAAATTCACTCCCTGTGGCTTTTCGTCCCCTTTCCGCATCATTATGAGCCAACTGACGAAATTAGTCAGAGGGCCGCCACATTTGTGAGAGAGTGTCATGAGTCCAAATTAAAAAAGATAAAACACCACGTTGCGCCAATTCGCTGTGCCGATGAATGCCAAAGATGTTTGAAAAAAAAAGGGGTGGGTTCGAAGATTAATTATGTGGAAGTTGATTTGGCAATATGCCGAGAATCATAAGCAATTGTCGTTAAAAAGTAGTCCCGCGATGAAAGGAGGCGAGGAAGATGACGAGCTAATAGTGTCGAGTCGTCGGAGCGTGTTATTATACGCGGGTGAAAGTCGCGTACCGGTTTTCGTCTTGTTTCATTCCTAATTCTGTCGAACAACAACAACTTCGCTTAATTCGACATCTCGAGGCGGCGCATTACCGTCCCATATTTGGCCGTTGCTCGATATGTCCATCACCATCATCCCTTGGACTGTGTCCTCGGAGATGGTGGGACTCAGCGTGCCGCTGCTAGAGCTGCAGCTGGAGCTGCTTCCCAGTGTCCAGCCATCGCTTGAGTTTTCTCGGCGTTGTTCTAGCAATCCGAGACCGAAATATTCGTGTCCGTACTCTTCATCCGCGAGCCGGTGGCGGTCTCCAATTTCGACAAATTCGTATTCCCATCGTGTGATCTTGTCGGCCTGGCGCTGAGGCAGGTATCGCGCTCGAACAGAGTAGAAGAATCCTACAGCAATAAGGCCGCCGCCAACAAGATCGATGGCATAATGGTGGCTTAGGTACATGGTCGACCACCAGATCCACCCGACATAGCCAATGAAGAACATTCGGAACTGAGGAAAGCAATGGCTCATGAAAAGAGCCTCCAGCACAGCGTATCCTCCATGCAATGACGGAAACGCACCAAACGGCAGAGGGGCGTTGGTGAAGTTGGTCGTATAGAGGTCGATATTGAATATTTTGTCGACGCGAGCAAGACCAGCGGGGGAACCCTCCATACCATACATGGCTGGGACTAGGCCATGTTCATTCTCGTACCAAGGAGGGGTGCACGGGAACATGAGTTGGATAGTGACGCCAAGTATGCTCATCCAGCCAAAGGTTCGCGCAAACACGGGAGTGGTTCCAGGAGCGGCAAAGATGAACATAAGGAGGGAGCACACCGCAGGAGCCCCAAAGTGAATAATACCATAGGGGAGCCAGGCTAGAATGTCAAGGATGGCGTGCTTATGAGCTGAGAGGATATTCGACAAATTGGCGCCGTACAAGACATTTTCGAGGGCCGGCAGCACTCGAACCCAGATATGGGGCCTGTAATCGTAAGGGATAAAGCTGCGAGAAGTTCTGGTTAGCATTGCCGAGTTTGATGACAGAGCCCGCAGACGAACACTAAACACCTCTCAAAGAGGGCGGAGGGAGGGGGGACGTGGAACGATGCGGAAAATTACATACCGACTGCAGAAAAAATAGACAAGCCAAACCCATATCGTCACAGCTGGCAAAAAGAACTGTCGCGTGGCAGGCATGAGAAAAATCCATGATACAGCTACCAAGGCGAAAAACTTTAGGGCAGGAGCCGGAGGAGCAATCCAAAGAGAGAAGAGGGTCAATCCGATGAGGAAGATGTATTGCAGGTCTGAAGCTCTCCATCTGTGCCTTTGAAGATCACGCAAACCATCCCAGAGGTTGAAAGATGTTCGTAGGGCAGTGATGTCTTCTGCGCCAGGGTGCATTGTCTTGGATTTGGATCGGGCTCGTCGTCGGCCAACATGGTAGCGGTTGGGGAGGCGGTTTAAGAATGCGATGGTCAGGTTCTCAGTCCAGAGCGACGGCAGAACCGGCTTTCCCGGAACGGAGCCGGGAAGATCCTTCATGATAGGTATATCGACGGAGCTGAAGCCACGATTGCGGTTCGCCGGGGGGTTAAGGGGGGCAGGGAAAAGGTCGGTCAGGTTCGACGAGACGTTCTCAACGCGAGAGGCGACTGAGATCTGGCGCACCGCAAGACGGAGAGCGCGTTTCGAGGGCGACAAGGTCCCGTCGAGGGCGGATCCAAATATCTGAAGTAAAAAAGATACCCAAATTCTATCTCATAATCCAAAGCTGAGCGGGAACCGGGTCTTCCGAAGGGTCTCGAATAGCCAGTAGACGTCAGGCGTCAGAGACGATGCGGTTTCTCGGCACGTGCCACGATGATGAGGTCGATCGGCGTCGGGGAGGAGTGCGGGACGGTTGGCGACTCGAGGCACGTGTGAGCGAAGAAGGGGAAAGGAAAAAGGAAGAAGGAGAGTCGTGGGCGGGTGGAAAGAAAGTCAGAGGAAGAAGAGCATGGAGTAGGAGAGGAGCAACGTAGGTGCGAGAGGAAGCAAAAGAGGCGGACGAGGTACTAAAGAGGGCCAGGGCGCAGGAAAGAGGAATGGGAGACAAGCAAGCACGGCTTCACGCAATCAGTGTTGCGCTACGGAGCAGGCGGGCCAGGTCAAGATCAGGACGGGCGAGGCGGCCTGGGGGCGTGGGACATGGAGGCTTGGGCTTGGCCGGCAGGGCGACAGGCTAACAGGATGGGCAAAGGGTCATGGAGATGGGCACATTAATTGAATCAAATGGCAAACCGTGGCCGAACGGGGGTTTGGGGCCTCTCCGTGCGGCCGAGGACGAACCTTCTTGGCGCCGGGGCGAGCTTCCAAGGAAGACGAGAGCACAAAGCCTGCCAAAGGGCATCACGCCCTGTCTGAGATGGACCAGAGTTCTCACCGGCGCATTGTGCTTTGCCGCTACGGTACGGTACGCAGGCACCAGACGCTTCGCTGTCAATTAAGATTTAGTTTTAGCTGCACCTTGGCGTGAGGCCGGCGAAGCGCTATCACGAACACGTCGAGTGATGACTTGTAGAGTTCAGTCTTCAAATGTTGGTCAGCGGTGAGCATGGTTGTGGATGTCACCCAGAGGTGCAGCATGATTCAGTGGGCGTTTGGGTGCTTTGGCAGACTACAGGCGGCTGTGAAGATTGTGTGTTAGAGATCCAAATGCACTGCGGTGTCGGTGAGCTCCTGCCAAACCGCAACTCGACATGTGTCGTGTGCTCAAGCGAGGGATGAACCACCATCCATGGCCGCCGGAAGCTGCGGCATTAGTACTTGTTACATTGGACACAAGTACACTTTCCATCTTGGGGGCGCTGGGAAATTGGCGGGAGCGCTCCAGGCCGGGGGGGCCAGGGGGGAGGGGACTAAGGAAAAAAAAAAATGATAGCCAATGGGGAAAAAATGAAAAATGAAAAATGAATCCATGCGCTAGGCCTCATTAGGTGGCCAAAGTGTGGAACAGCCCATTTGCAGTACGTACCAGCCGCCAGCAACTGTCCAGACAGGCTTCAATGTTGTGGCTGGAAATTGCAGTGGGCTGAGCCGGGTGCCACAAGCCCTAGGCCCCCCGACAGGGGTTTGGATTGGCTGCAGTTGGTTCAGATCAAACACACCAGACTGGACACTCGTAGCCCAAGTCCCCAATTGCTGAGTGAATCGATATTTGGAGCTGCAGCTCAAGGTCCAGATGCCCCTGCCGTCCCTGCGTGGTTGGCTGGAAGACGAGAGCCAACGGAAGCGAGGCCGACACGTGCAGACACCCAAAGCCACTTGATCGAGTGGGGCGGCTCGGAGTTCTCGCAATGTGCGGCTGTCCGTGTCGAGATGTCGGCACCGAGGAACCACGAGCACATGGACGTACTTGGGCACGCGACCGAAGCGTCTTGGATATCAGACTGTCGCTGGCGATTAGCAGAGTCGATATCCAACACTGGCGGAGCTGCGGCGTCCGCGCCAGTGCCGGATACTCCGTAGGGCGAAACGGAAACTGCGATGCGGCTCACCAGCAAATGCCTATGATCCACGTCTGCGGCACCGCGTAACATCGTCGTGGTCTCCCGTTTGTCTGCAATGTCGTCATGAGCTCGCAGGTTCGCTTTTGCTCCTCCATACTCGACCGCCAAAAACAGCGTAGATCAAACCTTGACTAGTGCGTCCTCGCTGCGCTTGGTGAGCATTACGGAGCAATGCGCTTACGCTGCTCTTACGCTCAGCCCTGGACCTTTACGCGGCCAAACGTCATGTCTGGTCGGATGCTGGACCCTGCCCAGGTGCTTTTCGCCATGGCGCTCCAACAACACGCTGTCATCGGCAAGACGAATGTCAAGCGCAGTGCCAGTATCTATTGATGCCAGCATGTCGGCCGAGTCGTGTGATGTACGGAGTAGGCCGTCACAATATCGAGCATTTTGTCGGCAAGATGGATGGCACCCCTCCGCCACCAGGCCCTCCATCAAGCGCTCTAGTACATATGCTCTCTTGGCCGGCCCTGCAACACCGATTCTTCATGCCAGGAGCAGACGGTCATCCACCCTGACGGTCGGCAACGGAGGTTGGCAAATGCCGGCACGTCATAACGGATGCGTGCGCGAGGGCCGTCATCAGGCTACATGCGGCACACTGCCGGCAGATGCCATGGCCAATACGTACACTTGGAGCCCGACGAAGAGTTGTCACATTTTGTGGACTGGACTACGGAGTACCTTGACTGTACGGAGTAAATGGCACCACTTGGAGCCAACTGGCGGTAAGCCGTACAAGACATGATCGATATTGGGAGACATTACGTCGCCAATCCAAGTTGGCCAACCAGTATTGTCCAGCTGCATCTGCATCGAGCTGCATCGATCCCGCATGCCACAAAGTCTCGAGCGCGCCATTGAAGAGAGGGGGAAATGCGAGGCAGATGCGACTGATGCAGTAGTACTAAGGGCGAAGCGCAGACGTGGTGGAACAACTCAAATGGCATTATATTGAGACATGTTCTGAATATGCCAAGCGCAGAGAAGAAGCGCTTGGGACCAGATGACGTTCGACTACACGGTACTCCTCCGTAGTCCGTACGGAGTTCAAGAACATTAGACAGAATCGCCAACTTGGTGGCAGGTCAGTTGCGGTGTGAGACAGACTAGATCTGGTGCGAGCCGAGGAATGCGAACCACCGCGCAAAAACCTAGTGGCCCATCCCGAGCTATCCGACCATCATACACTCCGGATATGATACGGGACTACTCCGTACTCCGTGCGGAGATGATGCTGTACAACAAATCGATTCTTGGCACAAGCCTCCATAGGAAACAGCCACGAGGCGAGCAGTCACGATAACCATTGGACGGTTGGAGCTGCCGTGTGTCGAGCTTCCACAAGTACTCCGTAACCCCCTTCTGACTCCCGGGCGGCAGAGCCGGAGCAGCAATCAGATTGATGGGGTTCCGTCATCATCAGGAGCTCGCAAGCATTGGGGGGGGGGGGGCAATTAATCAATGGCCTGCTGGCATTACCGTCAGCTACCATCAGCAAGCGAGGCAGCCCACCAGGTTCGGACCCTGTTGTCGGAAACAATCTAGATCCACTGACTGGGCCTTGGTATCCAAAACTAGATCTCATACAACATTGTCAGCACACCTGGAGGCCTGGTTCATGAGTATGTCGAGATGTATGGATGGTTCTCATTTCATCGGGCGGCTCAGTGGCACCGGGCATCACCATCACGCCCCCTGGCTGAGTTGACTACGGAAGTGACAGCGCTGAGCCAATTTGAAATACTACCTAGGTAGTCAAGACAGTCATGTCAATTGGGCTACAGAGCACGAGACTGTCGCATGTGTAGCATGACGACCCCTGCGAGGGCAATTTCCCCATGGTTGATGACAAGGCTGTTTTCATGGTCTGGGCGGCGCGCGGTCGCGGGACAGCCTCCAGACAACCAAAGTCTTACGCAAGCTGAAAGACGGGCTTAATTGATTCCCATGGCTAATCTCCAAAAACATGCCTTATTTATCGAGCAAATCCAACCAACGGGGACCGGAAGCATGGTCCAGAGATGCTTGAAGATCAACAGCACACCTTTTTCATTGCATGTCGGCCAACCCAACAAGAGTACATAGCATCAAGAGTACTAGTATACTTGTAGCATCGCACGACGACGACAAAAATGCGAAAAAGGAGTCCTGGGGGCGGGGACCAGCGTGCGCGTTGGAACCACTCGGTAGAGTACGCACGCCATGTTTTGTCGCAAGGCGATTCTTCATGATGGTACGTACGACGGCAGGACGGAGACCAATGGTGGCTTCTGGTAGCGCGAGTAGATTTTCGAGACGTGCACCGAGAGGGTTCGTGCTGGCAAAACGGATGACGACATGCAAGCCGCAGGAGGACCAGCCCACAACCTTTACGGAATACTCGAAGGTAGTACGACTGGCAGTCTGCATGCCACTGGCTGATGGTCTCTTGGCTGGGAGCTTCCAGGCCTGGAGGCCAACGGGAGGGGGCCTGAGCCTCGACATGCCTTTGCCTGGGTGTCTCCCATGCTGAGCATCAGACGCATGAGGAATTCGCGGGCTCGCACCACCAGCCACCTGTGGCCTTGGCGTTCAAGGGAGCACACACAAGCTCAAACAGCTCTCTCTAGACTGATGTTGGCGGTACTGGTACATGCCGCCTTTGTACCTCGTCCTCTCTCGCAACTCACATGAACAGTCGCCGCCAATCGCCGCCACTGCGATGCACAAACAGAAGGCCAAAGAAGCTTGAAACGATACCCCGCCCAGGCGTATGTATGTACTACCTAGGTACATAAAGTATGCAAGACAGGAACACTGGCCTGCAAAAGCGAAGGGCTCTCTGGTCGGGGGGTCATATGATTGAATGCGCCGAGGACATTTGACAGCGCTTGCGCAGTAGTAGATGGAAAGGCCCATGATGCTAAAAAAGGTGGAATCGCCTTGCAATCCAGCGGCGTGGCCCAACCTTGTTACATGGAGTGGAATGGGATGTCGTTTCGGCACGGAACAGTTTGACAGGCGTTGTCGATCGGTAGATCAACACGCGTATTCATTAATACTCGACTGTCTGCCACACGTCCAATACACAATGAGTCTTGGCATCGCTCTCAAAGTGGGCTAGCTGTTGGTTCCATCACGTCAGCCCAGGCGAGTCGGGCAGAGAAGCAATTTCCCACGACTCCATCACTTTGTCAGCTAGCACTACAGAGTAGTATCTGGCATTTATTGTCCACCAACATACGGAGTAGTTGGGGTGCTTGTCAAGCCGTGTCATGTCCGATGCCTGTTTTGGGTCTTTGTTAGAAGAGGCGATGACAATTGGCAATTTGACTGGGGAAGAGGCAAAGAATTAATCGTTACAAAGTACGCATGCCTTCTTTTCTGTTTAATTTTAAAAATACTGGCTACATGTAGGTAGCTGGCACTGGGAAGCTCTGCATGCATGTGGCTAAAGTTTGTGGAAAATAGGGCGACAGTGTCAGCCTTGGTCACTTTTGCCGGTCATTATAACCCAAACCAGATTTTGGGTCTAGGCGGGGCCAAGAGTAATGTAGTAGCAATTGAATTGAATAAATCATACTCTGTACATAAATTTGATACACTACGGAGTGCAGAGCATCCCCTCTGGTGTGCGAAGGCTCCAGTGAGGTCGCGGGTCCCACATTACCCTTGTAGGCAACTGGTGACCTCTAGTGACCTTACAGCAGTCTAAGTCTTAGTGGATTAAGATATAGCGATTTGTTATAAGCTTCCTTATAGGTACTTCTATTATTATATGATTTACTAATGTACATATGTACCCTTAATACTATAGCTTCTTATTGGATACACATCCCTACAGATACCGCATTAGAGCCTTCGCACACCAGAGGGGATACAGATGTACGGAGAAGCTATATCGAACTGACATTGTATTTCCACAAATCCACCCGCAGCGCAAAAGAACCGACGTCACCGATCCCAGGCACCTCGGCCGTTACCTGGTCTTGCATAATTCTCCTAGTTTGCGCATCCACCCAGCCCAGGCGGCGAGGAATCCAAGTGCCGGTAGAAAAGTTTGCAAAAAAAAAAAAAAAGAGTCAATGCTAGTCACCGAGAGAAACTCTTCCGTCCGCAATGCTGCTCGGCGAACCAATATCGGGCCCCCGACAAAAAGCTCCATTGAGCACAGGAGAAGCGGCTGCTTGATCAAGTCAAGACACACGGGCAGATGGGCCATTCTAGACACGCAAACATGCATGCATAATATGAACCCGTAGCCCCTTCTGTAATTACCCGCCACGGCCGTGAACACCCAAATATAGCGCCCCCCTGGTGAACCATTATTTCCGACATTGTTTCTCGGTGAGCAGGGGCGGCCTTCCGGTACTGTCAATTGTTTGGGCGGCTCCCTTCCTCCTTTCATCATGTGGAGATGAAGGCCGACGTCTATTTTATCCATGCACCTTTTGATGTGTGTAGTATGTGTACGTAGTTATGCGGAGCGCGACTATTCGCAAGATGTGATTTCGGAACAATCGCTTTACATACTATCTCTTTTGCTGCGGGAAGCAAAAACTATCAATGTCTGTCTGTCTGCATGCCAAGACCTGCGTCGGCAACCCGATTCAGCACCAGCACCAGCACCAGCACTGCCCGTCCTGTGTGCCGGTTCCACGGCTGCATTTCCCAACGGCAAGCTGCGCATTTTTGTTATTGTTACTAGTACTATTGATTTCAATTTATTGCTTTTTTTTCGTAGCTTCTCCGTCTTGTCGTGCTGCCTGGTACGTATGTATCCCGAAGCCCGCATGGGGCACGGACGCTCGCAATCTGCCCTGCCTACTTAAAGTAAGCAACAAGACGCATTTCATATCACTGGTACGGAGTGCCATTTTGATGAATTTGACATTGATGCTCGGCAGGCCATGACCAGATGCTGGCATGGTTGGCTCCCCCCCGTCACCCCGTCACCCTTGTTCCGAGATGCAAGGCACAGAGCGCCACATGTGGCATGTTTCGTCGGGATGCATGGCTGATTTTCTTTTGGGCATTGTGGGAAGAATTTCGTTTCGTGTGACAGTGGCGAGGGGGGGTTGATGCGGAGGGCGAGTTTCATGCTTGTTCAGGCCTGTTGGGTTGGTTGCACGGGCGTTAGAGTGATTGATTGCCCTTGCTCGCGGGCTAAACATGGAGCAGCTGCTTTTCACGATTTATTTTGATTTTTTTTGTTTAAGATTACACGTGCGGAGCGTGCCTTGGTTCCTGTGCTGCGTTTTGTTCTTGGCAAGCTCGGACGCTTCTTTTCCCGAGGGGTGATGTGATGCCGGGCCATGGATGTTTTTGTAGCTGCCGGCGCCTTTTGAAATCTACACGCAAGTGAATATGTAGGTGCTGGCTGCTTACTCCCTTGGATGCAGTCGTCCTGCTTCCGTTGGCTCTTGTTCATCGCCACGTCGCGCATGTGCGTTTCATGTCGATAGAGTTGGGTGTTGAAACGCAGAGCTGCTGTTTGAACAAGTCGGTTCGATCATGTGTATACCCACTTCAATACTAGATGTGTTGTTGAGGAGGCAACATCACATTCAATATCCAATAGCAACCACGAGTCGAGGACCGTAAACAGTTTAACTTGAGAGTGTTACCTGCTTGATTTCACTACTCAATCCGATGCCCTGTCCTTCCACTGACCTTTTATACAGTCATCTCCGCAATATCCATCCCCTTCATCCGTCTCCGAGCACAAACACTGGGAGTCCAAATAGCCAATGGAAAAAAGAATCAAAAATTAATATCAGAATCAGAATCAAAATCAGAATCAAAATCGCAACCAAAGGATTGCCAAATGTAGTCCATATCCTTAAAACGCCGGGCACCGTAGCTGTGCAGAATAGCCAACCTATCCTTGATATCATTGGATAGCCCGTCTCGTCGATTCTCCTGACCGAGGGAACAAAAAATTCCATGCGGAATATCACCTTCTTTCCGGAACCAGTACTCGTTAGCAGGGATTAGCTCTTGATCATGGATGCCCGGTGCTCTTTAACCAGCGTAATTGTTGCCCAGAGCTGGGTCGAGGTGACTAGCCTGTGGTCTTCAGCTTTGGCATCGGTACAGGAGTCAACTTAATCTTGCTGTTTTTGCCTGCTGGCTGTGCACTTGGAGGAGGACTCTGCTGAGTTTTTGCGGTGGCATCAGGAGTCTTTGTCTTCTTCTTCTTGGACTTCTTGCTGTCTCTGTCTGCAACAGGCGTGGAGGCTACACCAGGTTGAGGAATGGGAACAGGAGAAACCTTGTGCTGAGAGGATCCTGGCACTTGAGGGACAGGAACTGCCGTCTCACGAGGCTTTGACGCTGGAGTCTCAGGCTTGGACTTGCTACGCTTGGACTTCGACGAGGGCGTTGACCCCGGAATCGCCGGGGGCACAAGGAGCGTCTGTTTCTTGGAAACAGCCGACGATGGAGGCGCATCGGATCCGAGATCGGGACTCCCAACGCGCTCAGTCTTCTGCTTCTTTGTTTTGGTTTCTGCGGACAAGTTCTCCCCCATAAGTTGTTCTGTAGCAGCGACCGCATCATCCTCAGAAGAAACGTGCTTTCTTTTGCCCTTTCTTGGCGTCTCAGACTCCCCCTTTTCCTTCCTTTTCTTTTCCTTCTTGTCCGACTTGCTCTGTGCGCTGCCAGCGGGGATCGCAGGAGCAGGAGCAGGAGCATCAGCCATCTCTGTATCATCTTCAATGTGGAAGGATGCATCTACACCAATTTGACCCATGGGACTAGTGACTCCATAAGGTTGATATCTGGCTTTGAGGCCCTCGGGCTGTTGTCGAGCCGGTGGCTTCGGAGTAGGGCCGACAGAAGAAGTAGCTCCTGAACCCTGGCCAAGTTGTGTGATTTTCTTGACTTGCATTACCTGGTCGATTGGTCGGGAGGCTGAACGGAGATCCCGGTCAGTCATGCTGTTATTTAATTTGAGATAGGACAATAGCGTGCTAGGGAAGCCTTACCGGATTGATATCGCGTTCCGTCAGAAGAGGGTATTAGAATTTGAATCGAGCTCTTTGGAGTCATACTGTCCATAGAAATGCCATAGTCTTCGCCATCGTGTGAGAAGACGCTGTCGCCGCTTTGAGATTGGTTCATAGGAATCTCCATATTCTGCACAACTGAGATGGGTACGTTAGCTGGCACCGTAAAGTACCAGACTTGTTTCCCTTGCAGATTGGCCTGGTTGCAAATGCGAGCAACGTCCTGTCCGTTGGTCCCACCGTCACTTTTGCGAAGAATAAAATCTGGGGCGATAAAGTCTGGGACAGTGGCCCGAGGATCATGTTGACGATCAGCAATGTGCATGGACACGTCTGCGTCTTCTTCGCTCGAATCTTCGGATGCATCATCTGATGGCTCATCGGGAACTGATTTCCTCGTAGCGACTGGTTTTGCTTGGGCGGCCGTCTGATCCTCATCATCAGTACCCTCATCGCTGGAGCTTGTCTCCGAAGTGGTGGCTGTGGAAGCGCCATTGGTCGACGTTATCGCTGCCTCGGGCTTTTTGGAAGCCGCTGGCTCACTTTCGTCGTCACTTTCATCGTCACTGGCGCTATCGCTAGACTCTTGGTCCGATGAGGTCGAGCCTTTGACTTTTGTCGCAGTTGCCTTCTTATCTGGCTCATCGTCACTACTGCTTTCATCTCCTTCTTCTTCCTCTTCCTCATCAGAACCAGAGGTGGAGCCAGAGCTGGATGGAGCCTCAGTTTTCAATGGCCCTCCGTTTGCTCTCACTTTCTGTTCACCTTTGACTGACTTCAACTCAGCCCCAGATCCTGATTCGGACTCGGATTCACTGCTAGTGTCATCCGATGAAGGCGCACCAGATTGTACAGGTCGCTTTGATTTGGCGGACGTGACATTCTTGGCGGTCGACCGGCGCTCATCGTCGCTGTCGGCTATTTCGTCTCTCTTGGCGGGCTTCTTGGGAGTTGTAGTGTTGGATGTTTTTGAAACTTGAAGCTTCTGCAAAAAGTCGGGACCGTCTTCATCACTACTCTCACTGCTGCTACTGCCGCTCTCGTCGTCTTCAGACTCGTTGCCGAAAATGGCCTTGTCAATAGCGCCGGGTTCCTTCTTGATCGAAACTGTCGACTTGGGGATGGGTCGTTTGTTGTACTGAGCTTCAGCACTGAGGCCCTTTTTCGTGTCCTCAATGTGCTTGTTCAAAGAGTGAACTTTGAAATGTTTCTTGGGTGCCATTGCGGACGAGAGGTATGCACTCAATGTGCTGTTGCGAGAGCACAATTGGCTGGTATCCCAGGTTGTTGAGTTGAAGAAGTGGGAGGTTGAAGACTGGCGAAAGCACTTGAGCTGTGAAATTTTGGCGACGGCTCTGCGCGAGGCCCCACATTCGCGCCGCGCTCAGGGTCCTTAAGGTGAGTGGCAGGGAAAACTGCCAAGCCTTCAGCAATTGTGCTTATCGATAAGAATCATCACCTTCTTCGTCGCTGGTTCTCCTAGTCGCTCTTTGCCTGAATGTCTTGTCGAACTCTTACCTTGGAGCAAGAAGGCAGCCTTGTTTCCTTTCATATCTAACAGTACATTGGCTAGGCTATTAAGAGCCTGCACTTGAATCTGCACGAATTAAGCATGTCGTCTAGTAAGCGTCGCAAGCTGGATGGTCAAGGCCCTCCTCAGTGTACGAACCACACGCCTCTAACCTCTTCCTTTTATTAATCTTCTAGTAAAATGAAAACCAGTCGTGCCATGGGTCTTCTACGCTAACACTTCCTTTCTATCTAGCTCCAGTCAGCGCCGTCAGTGCAATTGCTGCTCGTAGACGGCAAGCTGCTTCTGTGGCCCAAAGCCAAGCCACTGAGCCTGCAAACCCTGCAGAGCCGTTGACACCAAGTGTAAACTCCTTCAGCGCTCTCCAGACTCTTAGGCCTGATAGGAAGGTTACTCGTCCTCCTAAAAAGAGTTCGAAACAGAGTGTTCAACTTCGAAATGATGGCCGTCGACTCCTAGCGGTGGATGATCCAAAGGCAGCCGAGTAAGCTGAGCACAAACTGCCTCGTCTTGACGACCTCCTTCTGACAATTTTCAAGACGATTGCCAAATAATCAAATATCAGAAGATGTACAATCTTCATACTCCGCTACCTTATCCCAGACCATTAATTATTCCTCTTTTTCTTTAACCAGAAGCAATTGTCGAACAAAAGCGGGGGGCGCCCTGGAGCTTACGTTGGATGAGGGTGAGGTATGTTATTGTGCCACATATTTACGAGATGCAACCGCTAAATGCCTGTAGAGATTTCTTGTTCTAGGAAGCTTTGGAATCAGAGTAGTAGGCGGTGAAGTCACTTTAGCAGGAGCAACACTACATGCTGCCGAGAGCATACATTGGGTTTCCGCCCCCCACTGCGTGGCTCTGCCTGTGATTCGAACTGTTCAAGACACTCGACTGGAATTACATAATGATCCTAATACGAGTGGTTTAAGAAAGCTAGGTCGTCTTTCACCCCTATTTCGGAGAATATGGAATGAGCCAAGTGAGACCGTTGATGGGATCATGACTGGAGGGCAGACATTCCAAATAGTATGTATCGAAATGGCTCGCCACATAATTGACTTGACTGACATATTTGCAGATAGTCTCATCTTCAGATGCGCCTAGGAGATGTGTCATTCAAGAATTGGTCTCTCCACCGGAGTGGAATAAGAAATTGGCATCCTTGCTGTCGATTTCAGGGACAGGGACAGGCCAGCGGACAACTTTTGTCTGTGGACCAAAATCCGCAGGCAAGTCGACCTTCTCGAGGTTGCTCACGAACCGCCTTCTGACATCTTCAAATGCCGGGAATCCTGTGAAACGAGTGGCAGTGCTAGACCTTGACCCTGGACAGCCCGAATTCGCTCCACCTGGTACTGTATCACTCGTATGCGTCTCAAACCCGAACTTTGGAGTCCCATTTACCCACACTGCCTTTGACGATCCGTCGAACACAATTCTGAGATGCCACTCTTTGGCGTCTGTTACTCCAGCTTCAGCACCCGATCTTCTCGTCTCCTGCGCCACCGACCTGTATGACACATACCAAAGGTCGCTTCGTACTTGCCCCCTTATAATAAACACCCCAGGCTGGATTCTGGGCACAGGTTTAGACCTCCTTGTGGAGCTGATCACTAGGATTCGTCCTGCCGAAGTCATATACATGTCAGAAGATGGCCCTGCCGATGTCGTGGATGTATTGAAGAACGCGACCAAGAATTCGTTCAGCATGCTTCCGTCGCAACCATCAGAATTTACCTCCAGAACTGCTGCTCACTTCAGGTCAATGCAAATGATGTCATACTATCATTCTCATATTGATATCGAGAACAAGCGATTGAGACCACCACGGGTCACTTGGTCCGGCCATGCTATTTCGTCCGCAAGACCGTTTGTTGTTTCATATCATGGCAATAATAGTGGGATTTTTGGAATTATATCTTATGACTACCAGTGCACCCCAGAACTTCTAGCGGCTTCTATCAACGGGTCAATACTGGCCATGGTCGAAATTGAAGGGCCGGAAGCCTTCCGGCAACTTACGGACATCACGAAGACTCCGGAAGTGGTAGTCACCAGAACGGCGGAGGACTTGCCATTCATTCCAAATCCCAATGACGCAACGCTTGATCCTCAGTACTGCCGAACAATCGGACTCGTCCTTATTCGAGGCTTAGACTTGAAACGAAAGTGTCTACAAGTCATCACGCCAACTCCGTACGCCAGCCTAGAAAAAATCAAGGTCGAGGAGAGGAATATTGTCTTAGTCCATGGAAGATTCGACACTCCCTATTGGGCTTATACCGAAGACCTCTTTGCCAAATCTTCTCAAGAAGAGCTGGTAGACAAGGAAGTCCACATAACAGACGAAGAGACAAGTGAAGACGAATCAAGGGAAGAAAAGGCACAACCGGGAGGGACGGATCACGCCATGATATCTACGATACCTTGGATAGAAGTTTTAGATGGAACCCAGAAACGCCCCGTTGGATCTCGAGTTTGGCGAGTAAGACGAGACTTGGGTCGACATAACACTGACTGAGTGGACAAGATGCTCCAACCATCAGCTTTCAGGCACCCTCATACGGGTAGTTTTCCCAGCGACATACATAAATGTTCTGGAAAAATCCTGCTACCACCTTTTTGTCAGTGTGTGGGGAGCCATGATTATTTAACACGCCAGATAACTCTGACAACTTCATGCATGGTCTGCGGCTTGGTACTGAGCCGCAGATGATACATGAAGTCAACAGCTATCTCCAGCTTCTGCACGCCTTGTACTCTACTCCGTAAAGCATTTAGAACTGCGGCGGCGGCGCCACACCGGCCCATAGCATGGAACCATGCCTCATTGGAACGAGGCCATTGACAAAAGACTGTTGTGGGTAGATATGATATGTAGTATGAACGAGCAATCCCATGGTCTGTTGGCATGCGAAAACTCGGCCATCTCTAAGACCATGACCTTGGAGGGCAATGTTTGCATCTTCCCTTACGACGTGTCTGATCGGAGAAGTCTCATCTTGGACTAGCACAACTACAGCGCGGTGTGATCAGTACATAATCCATGTTAGCAACAGTATATCATTGACTGGAAGAGAGAGGACATGTCATATTTGACGCATTACACTGCATTGGCCGGCGGGCTACACAATCCGACTCCCACACAATCACCACCGCAGATGTCCCCGTGCGACCCTTGAACGAATCGCATCGGGGGATTAGAGCATTTAGCAAATATTCCATCATCAGCTCCTGGGGGCGGACTGCGGCTGAAAAGGCGTTCAACCACAGATGAGAAGAGAGAGGGAAAAGGAACTTCAGTAACCGAGACACATCTCTTCCGTCGTCCGTACTCGGTATGGGAGGTAAGTAAGTGTGTCCCTGTTGCAGGCTGTCTTACAATGTGTGTTTTTTGACCGGCTAATGCAAGCCTTGGTTTCTCTTCCCCTCCACAGCAACTTTGTCTTTCTTCCTAGTCTTTGCTGTAACGATTGATTGACTTGGTCGATGGACAATGAATACGGAGTAAACGACGACAGTATACACTCCCGGATTCCGGTTAGCCACTGCGGAAAGGACCAGATCCTTTCCGGGCCTCAAGGGGGCCAGGGGCCGAACATTGTGTCAATATGCAATGTAGGGCCCATCCATCCCCCAGCTAGAGGAACATGGCTAATTTCATTCTCGCATCATGCCCAGCATGGGATTGTGGCACAGTTCCAACGTCCCCGTTACCGCTGGTTCGTGAGCCGCCCCGGCGAGGCGGGACAAATATGATGGAGCATCGACGAAATTGGGTTGCCTGCATAAGTTTATGTTTTGGGCATGCATATCTCTGAAGTGGTGGTACGGAGTAGTACTACGGAGTACTACACCACAACTTGGGCGAATGTACGGAGTATGTGGCTCTCTTAGCACTGTGTTTGTACACCATGTCTACGCCATGGATCCCGAATAGAGCGTGCGGGCTGTTTTCAGTGCCCAGGAATTCCTCGGTGACAAATGGGGACGATTGACGCTGACTGATGTTTTCCTAGGTGATTCCTTCCCAGTCCATAATCTTGGTGATCTTTGGCCATAGTTAGTATGAACAATGTACCTATAGTATGTGTGGAAAGGTGGATAGTTGGTGGGAACTAAATTGTGGATGGCAGAGACCACAACCTGGGAGGCACACGAGCAAAACAGCAGAGCGAGCGATGGACTAAAACACGTCGCGAAAGTGGCTGGATACTGGAAAGCACAGTCGCCCGAGGCAAAGGACGAAACTGACCGGCGTGATTCTATGGAGAAAGCACCGAGAAGATGACGACGAGACACATGAGCCGAAGGATTGGCCCCGAGTCGCATTTACACATGTGTGAGCAGGACTAGTCAACGAGGCAATTCTCGTCAGACCTTATTGGGACATGGCCCTGTGGTGGACCGTGGGACCGTTGAACCCGTCGATGGCATTCTAGCCCTTGTTCCTGGTAGGGAGCACCAACCGAGAGAACTCGTTGCCGTTGGGTATGCAGCACAGAGGGGCCTTCGCTCATGCGTTCCGTCCTTTCGGGTCACGTCGAGTGGGAAGGCCATGCAGTCAGTAGAGTTGCCGAGGAGACGTCCTCGTCATCCAGAGAGCCGGATTCCAGCGAACGCTTCCATGTCCATGACGGCGGTTGCGTGTGGCACCAACGCGGAGGGACAATCAGCATGAGCACCAATCAACCAACGAGCCTGGCGTTGAGACCTGGGATCTCATTTATCCACACAACCGGGACGCGCAGACAGTAACACTGTCCTCGCGCAGCGTTATGTAGGACGAGGCGCACGTTGTCGTGTTGAGAGATGTCACGGGATGGTGTAGGGAGTACGGAGTACGGCATTGCTCAACTACTCCGTGCCTAGGTGGTAAACGATGATGGGTAATTGAGCTGCCAAAACCACGAGGAGCACCAGACTACTTAGTCAAGGACGGGACTCTGGGTCAACTGTCGTATCCCACTGGCATGCCCCAAGAACAACGATGGCCCTCGTCCAATTCCAGGGATCAGCCCCCCCTGCAGGAAGGGCTTTGCGTCCAGTCGTCAGTATGTAAGTAGGCAATAGCAATCTACATGTAGGGGCGGGCCTGATGGTAGCACTCCGTAGTGTACGGAGTATAAGAGATTGTTTAGGGACGGTGCAGACATCGGAGTCACTCCATGCTACGTAAGTGGGCAGACCTACTAAGCAGCATCAAGAGACCGGAACTAACTAACTAATAGCTAGGCTTGAAACGACCGAGGCCATCATATTTCCGAAGCTAGTACTGCTAGCATTGAAAGGGGATGGTGGCCGGGAGATGGAGAGATATTCCCAAAGTTTATGTCTCCCCGGGTCCCTTATTACACAGCAGACTTGGTACACGTACGGCTCGTCCAAGATGGGCCCGGCCCGCGTCGCGTGTGCTGAACGATTTCAAGTGACAAGAGCTCGCGCGGCTGCATTACATTGACGGGGTCAACAGAAGCAAAGAACGTACTACTACTCCGTAGTAGTATTCCTCTTTGATATGTGACGGCAACGACGGCGGTGGCTGCAGCTGGCGCAGCACTAGTGATGGACGGAGATGCTTGTGGCCGTTGATGGCCGTCGTTGACTGGTTGAAATGTTCGGGCGTCGCAGTCATGTCCCTCGGCGGATTGTCGCTGACTCTTGCTGGTTGGTGATGTCTCGACATGATGGGTTCAATGTTGGAGGCGGCATGCGTGTCCTCAGCCCTCAGCAGCACCCCGGTGGCATCCGCCCGTGCGGTCCGCAGCGACTTGCCGACCACATGCAGCTAATACGGAAGTACGGAGCACATACATCATGACACTCTGGCTGCTGAGACGTGTGGCTGCTTGGCTGCTCCCTCGGCGCGATCCCTGGAGATGGATTGCATGTGTGGATGGAGAGGCATGGGTGCGCCACCGAGGCCCACCATCTAACGGCTGCGGGGCGGTTCGCGCAAAAGTGCAGACATATCTAGATTAAAATTTCCCATGTCGAGCCCGGCGGCGCTTGGGAAACATGTCCAAGGAAGGCCGGGAGGGGCGTCACAGGCGCTGGCCAGAGGAGGAGTCGGAGGGAGGTCCGTGGAGACGAGAGACGAGAGACGAGAGGCGAGAGGCGAGAGGCGAGAGACCAGTTGACCCATGCCGACGCCCATGCCCATGCCCATGCCCATGCTGGTGATGCTCATGCCGATGATGCCCAGCCCACCAGTGCGCGGTCGCGGCATTCATCAGATCCTTTTGGCCCCTCCGTCCTTGGAATCCGACCCGAGCTCAAGATTGGACGACATCTGGACCAGAGCTGAGCTTGAGACTACTAGTTCCGGATGTCGCCGCGGCAGTCAAAAGCCAGTCCAACTTTAGAACCCAGCTTTCCCCTTCGGCCTGTGCTGTTTGTTGGCTGGTCCGCCCGTCATCCGTCTGTCTGTCACTTGTCGCCAGACCATCGCCGTCCCACATCCGGGCAACCGTTGACCTCTTCAACTCTCGACCTGACTAGCGACCGCGTGCCATCGCGACCCTTTGTCCGCCATGGGCGAGACGGAGAGCCCCAAGGACACCACGCACCACCGGTCGGCCTGTACCGAGTGCCAGCGTCGCAAGCAAAAGGTATTCGAGTCCCCCGTCGCTCACATTCACTTCACCATCCCGTTCCAGCCAGCAGCCTCGACCACCACGCCTTTGCGAGCGAGCTGTCGTTTCCCTCGCCCGAGACAATGCCACAAAGCCTCCCGTCCTGTAGTGTACAGACCACTCAAACCAAAGACGTCGCATCTGACCGTCGAATCTAGTGCAATCGAGAATGGCCATGCAATCACTGCCAGAAACGCAAAGTCGCCGACAAGTGCCGCTTTGGCCAGAGCCAGCCCAGTCAGGACAAAGCTCCACGCCATGATTTCACTCGAAAACGGCAATTGAGTCACGAGGACACGGAGTCGATGGACTCGAACCCGTGGGAGGACGCAGATAGTGGTTTCGAGGCCTTGGGGTACAGCGCCTCGCATCTCTTTGCCGGCCTCAGCGCAAGCTCAACCGTATGTCACATAGCCTCGTTTGTTGGAGCACACACAGTCCAGCTCAGCTGCTGCGGGTTGAGCATTTGCGGTCCCTCGGTGCGGTGCTAACAAGAGAACCTGTGGCAGAGAAAACCCAAGCATGTCCCAAAAACATTTAGGCAATACTACATGGACCCTTCATCATGTCCGCAGCTCAAGCGTGCCCTGCTCCGCCTCCCTCCTAGACCCTACACAGGTATGTATGTATGTTTGTCTGCTTGCTTCTTCACAGTCCCTTGCGCGTCAAGCAACAAAACCCAGACAAGTAACAAGTGATGCCTGGCGGCTGACACCCTGCATGGCAGATGCTCTGGTCCAAAACTTCCTCAACCATGTAAACTTCCATTACTACATCATTTATCCGCCTTCCTTCCTGGAAGAATACAAGACCTGGTGGTCGCTACGCTCAGAAAATCGTCCGCTTGGTATGCAGTGGACTTGTCTGCTGCTCATGGTTTGTGCGT